TTCTGCTCCCAGAGCTGTTCATTTGGCCCACTTCTCTGTGGAGACTCGCTCCAACACATTAGCTCACATTCTCAAGCCTAGGAGTACAATTCCAGGAGAAAAAATGTTGATGGATAGAGAGTGAAGTTAAAATGATTAATTTCCAGAGAAGTTTATGAACTTGAAAAAAAGCACTTTTTCAGCATATCTGGCAGGGTTTTAACTTTTTTTTTAATGTATAACAACATGTTTAGTGCGGCGGCGGTTGAATTAAATAAATAAAAGTTAAAGTAAGTGAGACGGACGCGGGATGCTAATTAGCTCTGACGAGCTAAAAAGGCACTAAAAGCTTGGTGAGAATTCTCTGCACATTAATTTGTACAATCGACCGCTTACACAACACTCAGTCATTTGATCCACTGTTAATATAAATGTATTGATTGGTACGGCTTTAAGCACATGTTTTTAATTTGGTAAATGATTATGTGCTTAGTGAATTTATTATCTGACATTAAATAAGCGGCCGAAGAAAACAAGTGGCAGTCGCAGGCCTTCCAAAAGAAAGAAAGAAACGCCTTCAAGTAGAGAAGTAATCAGTCATCTCAGTAAGTACAGTGTTCTCCCAGAGGATACAGCCGGGCTGTTCCCTCTTCAATCAGTGCACGGTGACTGTGGGTGTGTCCCGAGCAGCAGTACTATATCATATCTAAGAGCTATCGATTGGCATAAATACACAGTCTCTCTGGTGACCGGATGAATTTTTAATAAGACACTGGATCTGAGGCCTGTTTTTTTGTCTTTGGCAGAAACACATGCACCGATCTCACACATTCACGTGCATAATATACACTACTGTCAACTCGGACCTGGGACCTGGGATGGATGACGCCATTGGCTCAGAATTAGCTCATTGTTCTACATCACGCTGCAGCTTCAGTGGTGGAACTGTTTCCCGCTTCGTGTCTGCTGTTAGTGAAAAATAGGAAAACAGTTGTAACTGCCAAAGATGGAAAAACAACACTGAGGCTGTTGTCAATAAAAGAAGAAGCCAGCGTTTGTAACAGCATGAGAGCACATTAGCTGTCATGGCACGATGGATCTGCATTAAGGAGGGATTCCAAGGCATGCTGGACCTTAGGGGTTACATGTACTTCTTTTAAGATATAATTTTTGACCAAAATTCTTCGGCTTTATCAGCAGTCCAGACAAGGTTTGTTCTGTAGTAATGGCTAAAATAATAAGGAAAAAAACTGCTTGTTCACAAAGAGTAAATTCAGACAGCGGTGACCACTAATGTTTAAACCAGGAGTTCCCAAACTTCTCCATGCCAAGACCGCCAAAACAGCATCAGCTTCTGGATGGGGAGACCCTTTGAAACCCACAGGCAATGCTACAAAATATTATGAAAGAAACCTTTTACTTTTAGAATGTGTTTTTTTTTTACTATAATTATTACATTTGTGTAGGAGAAGAAAACGATTAACCTTCAATTTCAAAACAACGAAATAAAGCAATAACAGAACAATATATCCAATGACAAAACATCACATCAACTCATCTCACCAGCCTCCAAATGATTAAAAGGTGTGATTTCAAGGAACTCACTGACAGATTCCTTCCAATCATTTTTGAAACGTGTCACTGATTTTTAATTTGTAAATAGTTTCTTGTACAAAAACACTCTCCAACATGAAACTGTGTTTATATTTCAGATTATTTTTTGCATCTTTAGAAAGTGTACCAACTCTCCCAGAAATGGGGTTTGTACTTCCTGAGACTTCTTGTTCCTCTATTGTACCAATGGTAAATCATTAATCATATGGGAACCAAGTCAAGCAACACGGTTCCCGTGGGGCAAATACTGCTGTAGTCTGAGTTAAAAAAAAAAAAGAAAAAGAAAAGAAAAGCCTGGAAACGTGGAAGAGAGAGGCTTGAGTCTGTAGATCCAAAACAAAAAATTGGAGTGAAAAAAGGAAAGGCAGAGTAGAAAACAGCAGGTCAAGCAGCCAAGTACCCATTCTTGCACAGAGTCCTGATCAGACAGTTGTTGGGATGCCAGGCCTGGCGTGGAGCGTCCTGTCTGTCCTTTTTGCTCCGGGTTCTTTGTGCAGCTCTGGCAGGTCAGCACCCAGAGCCAGGACTCTCCAAATGAAACATCTCAAGAGAAAAGCTGCTTTTCCTGCCAGTTTGTAGCAGGCAGCCAGGAAGAACACACACACACACACACTGAAGGTACACAGGCACCCATCACCTTGAAGGTTGACAGCAAGGAGGAAAGCAGAACCCCTTTGAGAATTATCACTTCTTTTTTTTCTTTCCTTTTCCCTCTTTCCTTCTTTCTTTCCCCCCTTTGAGAATTATCACTTCTTTTTTTTTCTTTCCTTTTCCCTCTTTCTTTCCCTTCCAGGAAGATCTTACTTTCTAACTTTCTTTCTTCACACACACACACGCACACACACACACACACACATTTACAACCACCTCTTCTTCAGTGTTCTCTCGGGTCTTTAGGGAATTGTTCCAGTGGACTTTGCTCCCTTATGATGAATGATTTGCCTAAAAATACTGTCTGTATGCAAGCGAGTGAGCACAGCGTCCAGGTGGAAGAACTTACCTCCTGGAATTCGCACATCTTTTAGTCCACTTTTCCTTCTCTCTATCCGCAGGCTTAACACTGTGTGTGTGTGTGTGTGTGTGTGTGTGAAAGAGAGAGAGATAGATAATTTACAGCGTTTCTGGGACGAGTGACATGAAGCTTGATTAAATCCATGACCTTCACCACCAACACAAGCAATCAGCAGGCGTAAATGCATTTACACACACGCACTAACAACACACACGCACACACACACACACACCTACGCCCTAGCTGCATACTTAACACCTTTTCACACATGGGCGTTGGACATACAAGCACACAATCATCACCTGGCAGATTGTACAGCATCAGTGATCCAATCGATCCACCGGAGCACCCACTCACACATGCACCGAGCGTCGGCTGAGTTCCACACAACACGCCCTCATTTTCCTCACGCGCCGCTTTGTCTGCTGCGAAACTATTCACCACTCTGGCTGAAAAGTAGTATAAGGATGGAAACACCAACAAACGTCGAATACATAAATAAATCCAAGTATAATCTATATTCAGATTACCCAAGAAAAAAGTCAGAAATTGCAATTTTTTTCCCCTCCTTCAGATTCCAAAGGGAAATCACTTTGGTCCCCAGTCTATTTCAGCCAGCTGCTGATTTTGAGTATTCCCTCTCCCCAGTTGTATGACTCCACACAGTGACTAATGCTCAGCCACTGAAACAGCCACAGCAATCGTCATATTATGCTGCTGTGACTGGTGGTGTGGCAGCGGTTGTATTTTTTTTCTCGCCCCACGGTTGCCTGAAGATCTAATGCTTGTATAACAGGAAAGGCAGTTGTTCTGCTCCGGCTGTGTTGTCGGACTGGTCGACCCCGTGGTCATACACAGCCTGTGTCACAATTTATTAACTCTGACTTTGCTTTGTTGTTCCAATGCCATGGTTGCTGCACGGACATCTGTGACCTCTCGGTGCCCTTTTGGTACGACAGCGTACATTTGACTTGACTACACTCATAACTGGCTTTATTCTACTATTTTTGCACAGGAGCCTCAAAATACATAAGGACAAAATTTACAAAAAAATAACCACATGAAACTTGTCTGTGAAGCGTGACGGATGTTAAAGACAGAAAGTTGAAGTAATGTGTTTCACCAACTGTGTTTTCCCTGGAAAACCATCAGCCTTCTGTTATCCCCGCTCTGATTAATAGTATTCCCTGTGTTTTTGATGTAGAAATATCGCCAGGTCGGTGCGCTCAGCATTTCCTTTGGCACCTACAATGTCAGGGTAACTAATGTGAACTGTAGCCACAAGTGCAAAAACAAGAGCTAGCTTGTAATAAAGAGACATTTTCCCTAAAAGCTTTTTCATTCCACATGGGGTTTTTCTGGCACAACCTCGTTTCTGTTCTTCCCAGGCATACGGAGCTGAGAAAAACTTCTAGAACGGTCCATTCTAGCTCGTGGCCTTCATTATAATCATCCTCATCATACATACATTACATCACAAAGAACAATTCAGGGTTACACTGCAGCTGCAGCTGTAATGAAAGCAGTGTTTAGCAAAGTTTTTGTACTTGGACCCACTTTTTCAAGATGACAAATCATGGCGACCCAATTTACAATATAAATCAGGATTATTCTGACCAAAATAAATGTAATGGATGATATTAATGTGAGTGTTAAACCAAAAAGGAAACCGCCTCTTGAAACTAAGCACTTAGAGCCTTCTATGTGTAAACTGATATGTATACAGAGGTCCATGGATACATGAAGTAAAATACAGAGTTTAGCATCAAGCAGATTACCATTTAAACAGAAATATTAGATATTTTTCAAAGTGAATGGTACATTTTCATTTTCCAAAATGTTTCCACCAAAATACTCACTTTACTGACATCATTACGCATTTTATTTGAAAAGGCTATTTAAAGAGACATATGCATTGCTAGTGGTGGAGATGGGGTGATGACAAATCATTGTCAAATTATTTGTAATATATACTGCAAATATTTGCAAGCTAACAGCAAGCATTTTTCCTTAATATTTATGGTAATACTAATGAAACTAATAGCTTCACGGTGCAGTATTGGTCAAAATTAAGGATCAACATCGCAAAAAAAAACAGTTATATCTTGACCAATCAGATACCTGGGCCTAAATGCTCAACAAAAATTTATGCAACATGCTGTAAAGATGTCATTTTATACAATTTAAGTAACAAAAAAGAGAGAAAAAAAACCCTTCTAATTCACATGGCAACACAAAACAACACCTCCCACAGCCGTATCGTGGGGGTTTCACCTGGTGTATTGTGACTAAGAGTGTGTTTTTCTAAATATAGACGAGTTAAAATGGTGTTTCTGAATGTTTTGTTTACACGTCTCACCCTTTAACTCGGCCTTTGTCTTTCTTCTGGCTCCAGCGTGCAGACCTGGAACCTACAAAGCTTCAGCCACGGACGCCTACTGCACTAAATGTCCTCCTCACAGCTCGTCTCCGCAGGAACAAGCGGTGGAGTGCGTGTGCGACAAAAGTTACTATCGAGCAGAGACGGACCCCAGGGCTATGGCCTGCACACGTAAGTGACAAGTCAAATAGCGCTCGCTGGCATCATATCAGAAAAGTACACACACGGCAGAGATGAAGGTTGATTCAGTGTCTCACGCTGCATACTTAATCAGACGCTTGTATTATGATGTTTAAACATCGCACATTGAATAATGTATACCATGATTAATCTGCGGCGTGTTCACGGGGGCGCTTACATTGCATGGCCGTCTTCCATCTGTCATGATTCATCCATCCTTTGTTTCACAAACAATCACACACACGCACACAAACACACACACACACACACACTCTGTCTGAAAACATGTCAGATAAAACGATGATACAGTCTGGATTGTATTTAATGCTTCTACATACACTACACCAGTCAATAAAGATAGATGACAGCTTCTTGAACAGGAAACTAAATATTTTATGGAGACTTAAGTCATGCATATCAAACCCTATGCTTCAGCATTTTATATATGTATATATATATGTGTGTATATATTTATATAATAAAAAACTATATTCAGTAATACAGTATTTCCAGGATTCGAAGAAAAGATGCTGCGACAAAGAAGACAGGAGATGGCATTAGATAGATGGATGACTGTGAGGCAGAGACAGCGACACAGTTAGAAGGAAAGCCTAAACTCTGGAATATCATGAGCGTGCACACATGCACATGCACATGCACCAACCGTCATTATCAGGTTATGGTAGATTACACTCATTAATCAGTGCGGCAGGTGAGATGTGACAGGTGTTATCAGCTGGAAATGAGTAACGGTTTGTTCAAATATGTATAGGCACACATGCACACGTGCTGTCTGGCCTGCTGGGGAGCTCTAAGTGAGATCCAAAGGATAACATGTGAAAATAAGGACAAAGGGTGAAGGACACAGAGGACACCGAGACCAGAAACAAATGAAGCAATGAGGGGAAAAAAAAAAAAACAGGACAATGAGGCAAATAACCCAGTAGTGGGGGGTAATGGTGGCAAATCAGAGACGTATAATTTAGATGGTACAAAAGGCTGATCAGTGGAAATGATGATGAATAGTTAGGTGTGACCTAGGGCAGCGGGGCGGGGCAGGGAAACAGAAAAGACAGAATTAACCGGCTCAGTCAGCACATCTTTTCAGCAGATTTATGACCGACAGCCTCAATTATCCCCAGCATGGCCTCTACCCCTGATGCCCACACATGGCTTTTCACATCACTCTTTCACAGACTGGGGAAGCTAATCAGGAAAGTCTCAGGCTCTGCTGGCAGGCCCCCTGGGGCTTCCTGCTTAGGCAGGGCGTGATGAGATGTCAGACTGCCTCCAGATCTCCATACGTCTGAAACGTCCATACCTTACTGTGATGAGAGCAACTGTAATCAGTGGTTTCTTGACTTTTAAACGCCTTGATGACGTGTGTGACGTTTTGGATTTTCTGGACGTGACCATTCACCGGCCAACAGTCTTTACATTTACAGCAGTAACTATAAAAATATAACAAGCGCATTAATAACTTTGATGTAATATCAATATATTAATATACTGTCAATTTTGTGAAGTATATTAGTGTTTATAGGAATATTAAGTTGTTGCAGAGAACAGCAGAGGGAGCTCACATTAACAAGCTGATGCTAACATCATCTTAGCTTTTAAATACATTTTATCTTTTAAATAATATGTCATGGATCAAATCCATCCTCCTGTTGACTGACGTTCATTTTAAATGACTTGCAAACCCAGCAAAACACTGCAAGTCATTTCATCAACGCGAGGCTAAATCCATTCCTTGTACCCAGTTTATGACGCTCCTATAAAAGGGATACGTCTTCACAATAATGTCATGTATATGGGGAAAATAATAAAAGCTTTTTATGTGTTTCTGCTGCATAACATTTATATTTCTAACACTAAAAATGACTGAATCACTTATTGAACCTCGACTCCCACATATGCAATTATTTGGGCTTTGAGTTTTAAGGTGACTTACCTATTAAAAATCTATTCACCAATTACCATGTACTTCTTTGGTTTCCTTAGACAGTCGTCCTCTCAACTGTTATTTCTCTTCATTAAAACAACAGAAGGTTAACTGTTCTGTCCTACTGTAACATTCATTACAGCTTGTTTTTTTTTTTCCATTGTCATTTTCATTATTCCACAGCTGAGCGTGTCCTCCCTCTGGCAAAACCCAGTTAATTTTTGTTAGATTTAATTAATTTAAATCTTTTCTTAATTGAAACTGTTATTAATAAGGTGATTAAAACAAAAGCAATCCGTTGGTTTTTCACCGCGGTTTCATTAGGTACAGCGAGACATTTACCGTAACATACCTTGACAGCATTTTAAGCTACCCTGGGGATTTTTGACCGACAGAAGTGCTGTGGAGTAGCTCTGTAATATAGGCCGTAAGAAGCCTTTGTAGATCCACGGGAGCCTACACACAATCTGACAAATTGCCTCAAGTGATTTCATTTAAGTCTGCATTAGCCGGACCTGAGAGAGAACATAATATCTGGTGGAGTGGAGTTAAAAAGAACTGAGCTTTCCAGACCCTTGTATCCTGCTCTTAATCTCAGCTTGAGGCCAGCGGCTCAGGGGCTTCGTACTATTCCAGAACCTCGGACCGAGCTTTTAGTAGTGGAATCACAGAGGGCTGAATTAAAGAGGGGAAATGTTATTTGTATTCAATTTCTTTCTTTCTTTCAGGTCCTCCATCCACACCAGAAAACCCCATCTCGACGGTGAACGAGACCTGCGTGACCCTAGAGTGGTCCTCACCCAGGGAGACAGGGGGCCGGGGGGACGTGACCTACAGTCTCCACTGCAGAAAGTGCTCTGACGACGGCAAGAAGTGCACACCGTGTGGCAGCAGCGTCCATTTTGTCCCCAGGCAGTTTGGTCTCTCCTCCACCACCGTGTTGGTCACTGATCTGCAGCCGGACTCCAACTACAGCTTCACCATCGAGAGCCAGAACGGAGTTTCGGACTTGAGTCCAACGCCCAGAGGAACAGTAGTAATCAACGTGACCACATCACAAACAGGTGAGCACGCTCAGAGCAGAGCATCTCTGACAATTCTACGGCGTACATATAATAATGGAAAGTATAAAAATGTACTTTGATAGACTACATTTTGTTCTTTTATTCTTTTGAAATAAACTTTTGATGCAAAAGTTTCAAGGATAACTGCTTTTTTTTTTATAAAAGGCTGATAAGAATAGAGGAACCTCTGGGGGGAAAACGCACTCACCAGCCCGAACTGGAAATTTGTAGGATAAGGAAAGAAGCAGGTTATTTTTCAAAATTGTCTTCTGATTGCAGCATACTCACAGATAACATCAGGCTTTTATACAGGAAATGGAAAATTACTGCTCTGCTGCATCACTCTGATACCACAAAATGATACCTCTGTACCTCTGGCTGCACATGTATAATCACATGTGCTTCGTTCACAGTGTGGGACTGTGGAAAATTGGTGCGGGGAGTACATCTGACAGAGTGGTGATAACTAATAGGCCTCCACCTTCTGATATGGGTGTGCATGGTGTAACAAGAAGAGGGAAGGTGAAAGGTCGTGGGAGGTTGTTAAAGTCATTAGGATCAGCACTGTACTCTCCACAAACACATTCGTGATCTCAAGAATACTGCAGAAACACTTAGACTGTTGCCCTCTGTGAGGGTACGGAGTGTTGGAATTTTAAACATTATAAAACAAGACACACACAGCGTACACACTTGCAGTACATGACAGGATGCTGTAATCACACATGTAGCTAACACCACCTCTCTCATTAGCAAAGTTACACCTTTAAACATGAGTATCCGTCTCTCACCTTGGCCTCATGGCGCGCTCTCTATCCAGCTTTTCATTGGTTTTTTTCCAAAACGTGCTGCTCTGGGTTTTTTTTTTTTTTGCCTCAGTTTTCTTTGTTTCGCTCCTATTTTGCAGTAAGTGTGGTGTTGAAGGAGAGGAGAAGCAAGGACAGCGTGACTTTGGCCTGGCAGGGACCGGAGAGACCGAGTGGAGCCATAGTGGAGTATGAGGTCATTTACTATGAGAAGGTGAGACGCAAAAACCCACAAACACACACTCAGATGAATTTATACTAGTGTAAGGACATGATTTAAAGAAGTAATAACCAGGGATATCCGATATTACCTATGTCGTCCAAACACTTAAATTCCAATTGGGATATCAACCGATTCAGATACCCATATATGCAGCCGTTTGTCCTCAAAACTGAGGTAAACATCTTAGCGATTCCAGCATATTTGGCAAAACCCTGGCATTGCTCTATCGGGTTTTCATTATCGGAGGAAAATACGAAAATATCGGTTGGCCGATACTATTGGACATCCCTGAGGACCTCATCTGTTGACCACAATGAGGTCAGGATCTATGGCTGTGATGATATTTTATGACAGTATAGATTAGACTGATATGGCCCTGAAATCCTCCAAGGATGGTTGTGTTTTGTCTTTTAGAATACTCACATATTTTAGCACATTAACCAGATTAGCCATTTCTCTCTATCCTTTGTTCTAACCTTGAGGCGTGTCAAACAGAAAGAAAAAAAAAACACTTTCCTTTCCTCTTTCGCCTTCTCTAAGAGGTGTGTGTGCGTGTGTGTGTGTGTGTGTCCTACTCTGTGTATCTCTCTGCCCTACTGCTCACTACAAGCCAATTAACCACACATCTGTCGAACAAACCTCGTAAGACACGGCCGAGGTGATGAAATTAAGCGCGGTTGTGTCTCTTTCGGTGTAAGGAGGCATTAGCAGTAAAATAGTGTTAATCCGTGTTGTGTAGTGCCTTCCGTTGGTTTAAGTATCAGCCTCTCCGCAGGTAATCAGCTTAGTGACAGACACATTTATTCTTTTATTTCACCCTCCTACACACACACACACACACAGACAGACCTACAAGATGTTCGAGGATCAGAGCTGCCCTAGCTGAGCAGGATCTTCTACATGAATATAAAGCTTCTGGACTTGACAGATGCTCATGTATAACTGTGAGCAAATGGTCCGCTGATGAACAAATAAAAACGTAGTGAGGTGGATTTGCCCCTCAACAATTAAGAATTCTATTGATTTTTACACCTACATTTCCTCTTAGTCCCTTTATTTGCACTCTTCTACCTTGAATACAGTTTACCTACAGAGTATCACAGTATTCACCTCTGCTGTTGTACTGTAATATTATTGACAAAAACTCAAATTTATTTCCGTCCACATCAGAACCAGCGGGAGCAGAACTACACGGTCCTCAAGACTCGTTCCAACATGATGACAGTGATTGGGTTAAAGCCAGGGACCACCTACGTGTTCAGGGTCAGAGCTCGGACTGACGGAGGGTATGGGAGCTACGGCGGAGAGATTGAACTGGAAACCAGCCATGAAGGTAAAGAGAGAGAACAGAATACGAAGTACATGACTGTATGTTTATGTATTTAGGGTAAGAAGATTAGTAACAATAGTTAGTATTACCAGAAAACACCCCCCAAAAAGTGGCATCATAATGATGTCAACAAAGACTTTTCTGTTTCCTCTGGTAAACTCATCTTTAGATGTTGGACATTCCTAGCCAGTAAGACACAGTTTAATGCCTACACATTTTTCCAGTAACAATACTTTGAATCTATTCTGAAGTATTCTATTTTAAACACAACATGAAGAGCTTCAGATGTAACCTGCATTTATCCATGTCAGTCATCCGTTGCTCCTGTGTTTCCTCTTTCATTACACCGTCATAAAGGGCTACAGGATTTTTTTTTTTTTTGCTTTTACATGTTCCATAATGTGCTCTTTAAACTGCACATTGATCCCCAGTCAGCCAGGCCAGGACAAATAAATCAGTAAATGTACAGCATGGAGTATAGATCTCCTGTGAGTACACTGCAGGTCCACATTAGAATACTAATCCTTCGATAATCAACAAACACTTCTGTTTCTTTCTCTGCCATTATATTATTATTATTCACTTTGAATGTAAACTGTAAACACACTGAGACTTTAAAGGACAAGTTCAGGCTGTGACTGAGATTTTCAGTGAATTAAGTCAACGCTTCACCAATCATCTGAGAGTTAAACACTCAGACCACTCGATTAGCTGTTCACAAGTCTGCATATGAGTGCTCCAGCAAACGTAACAGATCAATGCTCATGTGAGTCTGCCGGCCGACATGCATTAATGTGCCTTGAACACATCACCACGTAGTCAGACATACTACAGTATACACTCACACACACACACACTAATGCTTGGCTCAGTCAGATACATGAGGTATTTGTTTTGAGTAATGGCTCGATAGGTGTGGCGAAAAGAATCAATGTATCTTTGTAGAAAGTTCTGGATGGAAGCCTTGTTATGCCCAGTGTTAACATATCCATTTGGACAGCGTGACTGAATGGGAATAGTTTTCACGTCCACTCTCATACCCTCATAGGTAATGCACAGGGAGAGCACTTTTCATCAAGGACCTTATTTACTATTCCACACCTCTCTCCCCCCTCCCTCCCTCCTCCCTCTCTCCCTCCCTCCCTTTTAGCCATTTCCCCCTCTCTCACTTTCCCACTTCTTCCCACCGCTGTCTTTTATCCTCTTTTCTGCTATTATATTTCATTTTGGTTTTTTTCTCACCTCCCTGCCTCTGAATTTCTGTGTCATTCACTTTATCTATGCAAAAAAGAAAAAAAAGACACATTTTCAACATGACTCCGTTCTCCTGGATGCTTCAGTCAACTGTGTGTTTGTGTCCACATAGATGTTCTGGCCATTGGAGACCCCAACCAGTTCACCATCCTGGCTGTGTCCATAGCAGGAGGAATCGGTCTCCTCATATTCCTGGTGACTTGCTTCATTGTCAGCGGCAGGTAGGATTCAAACTCCAACACACTTCCTCATGGGAAATACTGTGAAGGACATGTCCGTGTTCTAGCATTAACCCTTTCCTGTCATGGTGTGTCAGTCATACATACCCTTAGAACCAGCACACAGAAGATGCTGATGCTCGCTCTCTCCCTCTCTCTCTCTCTCTCCCTTGCTTATCTGACTAATCATTGTGCAGCTGTGGATTTGTAATGATTGATCACGATTGATTGCTTTCTTAATTAATCATTAATTATTTAGTTCAATCAACACTTCTTAATCTGCCTCTTGCCAAAAGACAAAGACAAATAACAGCAGGTTATTTGCGTGTGTGTGTGTGTGTGTGTACATCACTAATGACGGAGTCTTTGTAGCCAATGTCCTCAAGTTCGACTGTCAGCTGACTTACTTACTGCTCTACAACTGGATGATGTCTCACCTGAAGTTTCCCCGCAGCGTGTGAAAATAACAGTGTGTGTATCTACTGTTCTACTGTAGAGCAGTGCTTTTGCTCAATTGCTTCAAACATTTAAAGCAAGAAAATGAAATGAAATGAGTATCATTTTAGGCTGTAAAACACAGAACCAGTGTGGAGAGAAGGTAGGAGTTCACTAGTGGTTGTGCTTTTAATTTTTTTTTCTTTCAAAAAGTGAGAAGTGTGAAGTGCGAATTATGTGGGTGCGCTAGAATTAGACCTCCAACTCTGACATTTACACTGCTGCCAAAACCAGAGTAAAGGCTGTGATTTTCTGCATGTGAAGAGCACAGACTCTCTGTCCTCACTGTCTGTCTCTGAAGCTCATGCTGATGGCAATGCTCTGATTGGCTGAGGAAGATGAGAGGAAGAAGAGCAAGGTATGAGGTGAAACAAAGAACAGATTCTATTGAGGAGAAGAGATTCAGGAGGAGAGACCAAGACAGAAGAATAGGAGGTAGGAGTAAGGGCAAAAGAACGTTTGTAAAGAAGAGAAGAGAAATTAAAGAAGAGGAGAAGACACAAGTAAAGTGGATAGGACATAGGAAGGGTGAGAGGAGAGGAAACGAGGAGAAAGGAGAGGATCCAAAGAACTAAATGTTTGTTCAATCTGAGCTTTGAGAAGATTAGCAACATGTTAGAAACCACACACACACATAGTCACATGCACACGCTACAGCGCACACACTAAAAACATTAGTATTGATTCAGGTGATTGCTTATCAGGCTGAGTGCTCTATTCACTGACGAGGAGGGTTGTAATTAGTGGACTGTCCTGTGTTGGAGGTGTACACACATGCACGCACACACACCAACAGGTGTACACACACGCACACACACACACGTACTAATACTGCACACCGAAGTGAATGGTGGGGTCTAAAACACACTGTAAACAGGAGCGCGATGAACTCATGATGAAAAACACACACATACTCTCACTCCACTTATCGGGTTTCACGGGCGGAGGCGTGAAGTAGGTGGTGCAGAGGTCGGTGTGTCGTCATCAGTGTCAGGGTCTTTCTCGCTCCCACTTTGTGAGGTGAAACACACAGGAGAGTTTACCATTGATTACTGTTTACTATCAGCAACATGTCTGTTCCTCTGGGCTTTTAGTTTGCAAAGAAGAGAGGAAGAGAGAGAAAAGAGGGGGAAGGATGAAGGGAAAGATGGAGGATAAAATGATAAAAAAGATTCCAGTGACAGAACGCAGCGAGGAGGGGGTGAGAAAGTACATCTGAAGTATGTTTGTGGCACCAGAGGACTACATTTTGAGACGGTGTCAGAGATAGAGAGGCAGAAGTGGACAGCTTGAAAGTGATGGATGGAAAAGGAGATTGACGGAAGAAGGAGAAGAGCCAGCTGGAATAGGCAGAGGAGTAAGGAGCGAGAAAAGATGAAAAGCTAGATAACAAGTGTGCTTGAAAGAGGGGTTGGAGGTGGTGAAGGGTGGGTGATTGCACCTTTAGCAGCAAAAGACATTTTGTGCTCCGGGTCTGAAAATAATGATTGGTCAGTCTCTTCTCCTGTTGTCTACAGCTCTGTCTTTTCATGTGTTCAATCTTATCTGTCGCTCAATCACATTCACCGCCTGTCACTGCTCTCATTTCACTTCACTCTGCGTTCCTGCCTTTCTTCTTTGGCTCTCTGCAGCTTCCTTTCTGCTTCCTTAAAAAAGAAAATCACATTTTGAATAAAACCTCTTCCCATACATCCGAATCAGATTTATATTCTCTGACCAGTTCATTGTGGACAATGATTAAATTGGAATTGAAATTGATACCGTAAAGCAGCCAGGGTTGAAATGATTTCCCACCAGACATTTGTTAAACATTTTTTCCCCTAAACGTCCATTTAAATCACCTTACCACTGTTCACCAGACCGGCTACCGTAAAGCAGCCAGGGTTGAAATGATTTCCCACCAGACATTTGTTAAACATTTTTTCCCCTAAACGTCCATTTAAATCACCTTAACACTGTTCACCAGACCGGCTGCTGAATCCACAGTCTTTTTTTTTTTTTTAACCACCTCGACAGAAGCGTTTTATCCTCCAACTATAATATAACAATGTGCAGTGTGTACCTTCACTCTTCCTTTTTCTCTCTCATACGGACACATTGAACACAGACAGACTGCCAGCACAGCACTCACTGCAGCCGTTGCCTCATAAACGGGCTGATTTGCAGGCCGTTCTGTCCCGTTCTGTACTCATTTAATAAAGTGCTGTTATGCTGTTGTTACAGCAGCGGGAAAAACATGAGAAAAAGAATTGCTGAAAGCTCCTTAGAAGCAGCACGTGGCTGACAAATCACATCAGTTATTGCTGTGTGAGAGCCATTACTGCTCAGCAAGAGTTTGTGAGTTGTGTGTATGACGTCGGTGCTTGTCCCGAGCAAGTGATGGGGAGTGAGCGTGTGACAGGGATTGAAGGAGGAAAGCCTTCATCTGTACGACCACCTCCTGTTCTCAGATGATGACTGATTATGGGTTGTGGTTCGGGCCGCATAGATCAATTGATCACTAAATGAATTGATTACTCTAAACTCTATACTATTCAGATGACCAAGCTAAAGTGATCTAATTACACTGAAATGTTAAATAGATTTACTCATGTGATATAGTTTGGTTAAATGCATGGAGCATATCTTTACAGTATATGTTTACTTCCAAACACTACAGAATTATATATAGAATTTTTTTCTTCGAGACATTCCTACATCATTCTACATCAGATTTACAGTATATTTTAAAGTCCATGTGATTTCTCATACAGTCTGTGTATAAATAGAAAATAAAAACCTCATTGTCCAAATCCACAGAAGGCGAGTAGGTGTTTAATTAACACCTATATTTTACACCATCGCACCGAGCTCAATTCCTTATCTGAAAGAGTCCAGTGAAAATGCGTCTCTCACAGACAAATGCTTTTTGTGCTTTTCCATGTTTGACGGTACGAGTCCAATTGTTCAGACATTGTCCTGAGTTACTAGATAAGAACAGCTGTTGTTTGCCTTAATGGAGTACATCTGCTGAAGAGCAACTCAGCTGGGAGTCAAGGCCTGCAATCTGTTAAAGACAAACATAGAATAAGACTCAGTGATTAATTGGACCGTGAGCATCAAATACAATGGACAACAATAAAAAAGAAATTTGAATACTTTGGAAAGGTCAGCCTTTTTTTATCTCAAGGTCTTATCAGATGATTTGAGGATGTGAGAAAAATAATTCTCTGTGATTTTCTGTGTTGTGCAGCTGAGTTGCTAAAGACAGTGTAACCACCACAGACTAACAACTCATGGAGTCGGTGTGTCTGTTTCCATGCATTAGCTCTTTTACTTCTGCAGCATCTGCTTGAGAAGCAGAGTCACAGGTTGATGTGCGATAAAAAGGTTTTCGTAAATGCGCTAAACTGTATCATCAAATGTCAACATCATTAGTGCCAAGGAACCTTTGGTTCTAGTGACATTCTAGTAAACAGGTGAGTGTGTAGGGGTGAGATTCAGAGTGTATGCCCACATATATATACATATATCCTGAATATATAGTCAATGACAGCGTCAAAGTTGATGACGTGTGTAATGTCATTAGACAGACTTGTATGTGATGCTTCAACGCCGGTGTTTTCAATTACTGCAGTCGTGCCGCAAGGTGTAGCCAAATTCTGCTTTGTCTGCAGAAAAGCCTCAAAGTAGCTTACAAACAGTGCAATAATAGTTGCTGCAGGTGCAAATCCATTTCACACAGGCTTTATGCAAATGAGCAGATGTTGCAGTAGAATTGATCTGATGTCCCACGAAATATAAGAGAAATTCCAAACTGTTTTGGCTGGCGCTTAAGGGTTTATAGCGCGCTTACTATACATTTAAAGGATTCACACACACACACACACACACACACAGGCAGAGTGATGTAGGCATGACCTGATCAAGCTGTGACGCTGCGGCCACATCATTAGTTAATTAGATTTCTGCTGATCTGTGTATGCAAATATACACAGATTCACTTGTTTTAATGACACAGATGACGTGAACCTATGCTTCATCTCTGTGGTGACCTCTTCACTATATCATTCAAACCTTTAATCATCGACCACAGTCCAGACAAGTATTTTAACCCCCCACCCCATTCTTCCTTTCCTTTCCTCTCCTTCCCTTCCTTTCCTTCATTACCACTCTCTTTAATGAGCGAGTGTGAAATGAAATGTATCCAAACTGGGTGTTAATGAAACCTAGACAGATTTATTCATCATAACTCTCCAGCTAATCATTTCCTTTCTCTAATAATTAGCCCGTGCTGAGTAAATCTTTTTACACCGTGATCAGAAAGTGCTGAGCCCAGATGAAGGCAGCGAGACAAAGGGAGCGGAAGAACAAATCTTACTTACTTGTTTTATTATGCGCTCTGTAACACCGCTCATACTCTGGTGCAGTTGGATTTTTTTTTTTTTTTTGGTTTGACTCTAAATTAATTATCCACAATCAGCTTTCATAAACCTCTTAGTTTATTAACACACACAAGCAGTCGATGCATTCTGTTTTTGTTTTTTTTCCAGGGTTGGAGGTTTAATTTTGCTGTGAAATAATGAGTGAATTTAATCCATTGATTTCATTCACTGTAATTATTTTTATTTAATAGCTTGATATTAAATGGAATTACCATTGCCATGTGTTTTGGTGAGAGCAGATACCCACGGAGCTGTGTGTACCAGTGTGTGTGTGTGTGTGAAGAGCAGGAGGAAGGAGAGAGGGAGGATAGGTTTGTCATTTCATTGTGTCATGCCAAAAAGGGTGACTAATGATTTACTGATTCCATTTTTCTAGTCACTCTAATTTGCAGCGGGGAAAATAATGTGGGAAGCAGGGATATAAAAGAGGAGACAGAGAATAGGAGAGGAAACACAGATATAAGAATAATGTGTGTCAGTGTGACCGATCTGCAGCAACTCTTCCCTCCCTGAAGAGTGTATCTGTTTTGTTTTTTTTACTTCCTTCTTTCAGCCAGCAGCCTGTCTCTAATCTGATAAAAGACAGACGCTTACATCAACCAACAGTGGACAAAAGCACCAGCTCAGGGCTATTAGCTGTCTTCATGTCTGAGGTCATGAATGGTCCAAGGTTGTTCACGTCACTTCACGTAGGTGAAGACAAATGTTGTCTTTGTTTGTCCATGACTCTCTGTGTCCCACAGTACTATACATACACACAATTGGATTTGTCTTTGGCCCATTTTTACTAACAGTCAAAGTCAAGGGAAAATTCAAAGGAAAATTCACTAATAATAACTTGCGATCATTAGCAAAAGTATAGTGAGTTAGAAAATAAACATCTTAATTTTTTTTTCTTAAAAGCCTATTTCTACCATCAGTAAAAAACTAACTAAAGACAAGACATTCTAACCAGATCAGGCAGGTGTCATTTTGATGCAGTATTTGTGGATATAGCTCCCAATGTGTTCTTGACGGAATCTGAGTGTATTGATCCTGAGTGGTTTAATTTATCAGGGATATTTGAACTGTCTGAAATGTGCCCTTGCACCAGAAAAAGGGGCATTAAATATTTTGTCATTTGAGTGTGAATATTGAGTGAAAATGATAAATTAATGGAGCACTAGAACTGCACTCAAAATGTGGATTATGGACCTGTTATGGTTCTGTCACATGACCTGGTGTACCTAGGTTAGAATCCCAGCCTTGCCTTGCTTGAGATTACAGTAAATGGAGAGGAAAAGACTCACGTGTGTGTGTATAATAGCTGTCTATATGTTATTACCTTTTCTTGCACACTTGTTTCTCCTATAGTGTAGAATAATGTGTTGACTTAGTGCTGAGTGACTCCTCTTTTCTTCCCCTGTCTTGTTTGATTCTATTGTTTGCACTGAGGTTCATGCTGATACTCTGTCCTCAGAGGGTCTGTATTTGATGTTTCCACTGAGTTCTGTTTCTCATTTCACTGTTTAATTCTCCATCTTCCATTCGGAGCTCATTCTTCGGAGACCATCCTTCATTTGCTCCTGTCATTGCAGCATAAAAAACTGCCTCCCGCCTCTCTCACATCCCGTATGTTAACCTTCGAGCTACTATTCCAATCTCCTCCTCCTCCTCCTCTTCCCATTCTTCCCCCTCTATCTGATTGCTTGTTAGTTGGTATGCAGGCTTGCCCCCCCCATTGTGTGGTCTTCTTGCCTGTCAGCACTCTCTTTCTCCATCTCCCTCTCTCCTGCTCTGTTTCTCCTCTTCTTTACTCCAACTCCCTGTGTCCAGTCCTTTCTTCCAAAGGAAGTACAAAGAAAAAGAGTGAAGGGCACGGCCTCTTGGGATACGGAGAGACTGACGGACATACACACACTGGAGTATATGTGTGTTATTGAATATGGGAATGTTGTAACCCTAAAGGAGGAATTCAGAACAACAGTATGGCTCCTGAGATTAAGAGCAGCAAGGGAGAGAAGTGAAGTGAAGAAATATGGGAGGCGTCATCCATAATAATATATGTATGGAGTTCTGTGAAGGTGGAAGCTTGCTAGCGGAATGAAAAATGGGTCTCAAGTGACAGAGCATTATATTAAAAAGTAAATTGATATGCAAATGTGGAGTGTACGGCTGTGGAGGACAGGGATAGCCTGTTGTCCTCAGTGAGGTGGAACAGAAAGAAGCCCCGCTGCGGCAGCGATATTGCACCCCATTAACGTGTGTGTTTTGCATGATAGGTGCACTTGTGGTGACTTTAAATACACTGCATCAGTATGCACTGGTATAGGTGGCGTGTGTTCTCTCCACGTCAGGCAGCAGCCGGACGCCCACTGAATGGAACAATGGTTTCCCACAGTGACGGATGTCGTTGACTTCACACACTGATGGAGGAGTTGTTGTAATGCAGTAATGCAGTGAGGAACACAATGCCGCATGTTTTCAAAAACCAAAGCACGAAACTAAATAACAGCAGCTTCCATTGTGGACAACATTCATTACTACGCCACGTCTGTCCAAAGCAATCGCAGTAAACATCCGGGAAAATACAGTGTTGTCTTTCAAAGACTGAGACTTTTATTGGTGCTCTTAAAAAGAACAGTGTTATTCTAGATTTAAAAACAAGGCTAATTGAGAATATTGAAAATTATACCTGCATGAACTTCCAGTTTAACTTTTCCTCCATCTGACCTTTTTAGAATGAATTGAAGACATCATTTTCAGGATATTCATCCATCCATTAACCCATTGTTCTGACCGTTCAACATTAATAGATATATTAACCAATTTAATTTCTTTGTAAAAACACAAAAATAACTAAAGGGAATTACAAAGCCAAAGACTTCAGTATTTGTTTTTTGTTTTTTTAAATGTACCAGCTTTTTCTGGATTTTGCATTTATGCTATTAATATGGTCAGGCCATTTAGTCCTGATCTTCACGTGCTAATAAAAAAACATAGTGATTAATCCATCTCAACATTATCTAGAGCCATGGTTAAATCACGTTCTACCATTTCCACAAGCAGTAGTTAGTTAAGTCAATCTGATTCCACCAGAACAGGAACAACAAAGAAAACCCAACGGAAAAACAAGCACCAGCAGCAGTAAAGAAAAGGAGTCCTCCGACTCCTACTCTGAATCAGAGGCCAGTTTTCTTTAAAGAATCTATAGTTCTTTCTTAAACACTCAACATGCGGTTGTCAAGGGGAAACAAAAGCCACGGCCATGTCAGGTTTTGTGCCGCACTTAAGAATGCAGCGCTAATGATTCATGACACATCTAACTGGAGGGGAGAAATGAGTCGCTCTGTAATTACTATGGAAATGTGTTCATTTCCCATCAGACACTGCAACGTGTGCACACAGGCACGCGCAGAAATACACGAACGGCAGCGACGAGGTTTGGGTTTCAAACGTGATTCTTAATGTTTGATGGAAGGTGCGTATGTGTGTGTGTGTGTGTGTGTGTGTGTGTACACCCCTATGGGATTAACGCATTTGGGCAAAGGTGTGACCCATGTCCCCATTCCCCATATGTTCTGAACACATGCCCCAAAGCATCATATGTACATGTGCTGTGTGTATGTGTGTGTGTGTGTGTGTGTGTGTGTGTCAAGGGGCCTATCATGGTCCCTTGGTGATTGACTGGCTTTAGCTCAGCTGATAAACAGTTGGGGCCCCGCTACCCTTTCATTGACCATTACGCCCCCATCCCTTTATCCCCAAATACCAGCGACCAACCTCTATTCTCATGTGAGTCAGTGTATTCCCCAAACAGCCTATTGATGTCTGGTTGCCCATGCATTCAGCTGTGTAAAACCAACAGAAGGATTAAACACTAAATTACTGAGGTTTACTGAGGCTGCTGAGACCCCACCTCAGTAGACTTCCTTTGGTGTGTGTCAGTCATATGACATGACTTTGTGTCTGGTGTCTGGTGTTGTCGGTTTCATTTTATCCACCAATAGACTGTGTGTAAGAACTGGACAAGAACACTGTAAAATGGAACTGCTGCCCTGGGAATTACTTACATTTAAAGTGAGGTTACTTTGAATTTATGATTATCAATTGTTGTCTTTTCTATGGAATGATTGGACATTGGACTGACAGCTAGATCAGATACTAGCTAAATGACGGGTAACATAGCATCATTAAGCCGAACATCAATATAGTGATAATTACTGCAGCATCCATGTCTTATACACTGTCCATATTATTTAACTCTTGTTTTTAAAATGGCTGTTTTGGTGATTTTTCTCATTCACTCTTTAGGTTTGGAGTCACACAGTATACAAACTGATGTTACACTACACTCGTTTCTACAACAGTGATAGTTTTATAGGGAGAGGATACACTGACTGATACATATAACCCCAGATTGCCACAAACACACACACACTGGCAGCACCGCCCTGTGAGGGCCGTAAGGCAGTATAAGTTCAACACTTCCTCGCGGCTGGACGCCAGGATAGAGTTGATCAATTCGTCAATATTTTTGCTGTGGTTGTTGAACTGACCTACGCTGCAGGGTGTGCACAGCGGTGTTGGGGAAACACATTAAAGTATGTTAGTGTGTGACCCGTGATAACATTAAAGGCACTGGTTAACGGCCAGAAGGTTGATGGAAAATGAAAGGGGTCTTTAATGCATAGAGTCTGCCTCTATAGGGACATCTGTGACTCTGTGACTCACTCATCCTCGGGCGTATCAGCTCAGAGCCAAGTGGGGAGGTGACAAGTCAAAACAGAAAATACTTTTAGCTCCTTCATTCTCCTGCAGGCTTGTCTTAGACTGAGCGATGAAGACAGAAATGAGAAAATATCCAACTTATTTTTATATAGAGAGAGAGATAAAAACAACCCCCTGTTGGTGCTGAGCAGTCAGGGATGATTCTGGAGATTTTTTACTTTATTAAGTTTCATGCAGCAAATATGTGTATTGAAAATATACTTCAAAGTATGTATAACTAAACTTGAATTTTTTTTCAGGCACTGTGGATATATTAAAGCCAAGCAGGACCCTGACGAGGAGAAGATGCAGTTTCAACATGGCCGAGGTGAGCACTCACAAATAACATACATACGTTATGGAGTAGTTACATCTTTACAGTCTACCATTTACAACCAGCCCTTTAAAAATCGCTGATGTGGTCCCTCAGAGAAAATGAGTTTGACATTATTATTATTTTTTTAATTTTTAAATAAATAGAAAAAACTCTGTAGCTTCATTAATAATTAATTAGAATTAATTAGCATCCACTAAGACACAGTCTTTGAAAGCAAGAATGCATGTGGATCACCACTGCAATTGTAGCAAATATTAACTTTATTGAAGACGATATGAATTTCATATCAGAATAAAGGATCTAAAAAAAAAAAACTCCTGTTTTATGTACAGTATACTGTAAGTTTTCACTCTCACATGCACTGTTAAGTTATAAACATTTATATCCTCAGCATATCGTGTACAGTAGCGTGGGCCTGGCCGCTGATTAAAACCACACTGTTTCACACTTCCCTGCACAAATGTTGGCGGCCAGCATGCAGCTCCTTATGGGCTCCTGTTAGAATTATGAGTCACCTTAACACCAGTGCTAACAAAGCAGTTATGTGTTTCATTATGTAATAATTTGTAATGTCACTCAAAGAGAGCACCCACGCTCACGTTCACATTTCAACATGAGTGGGTATTAGTGTCAGCTGAAGCCTTTACTTTTTAAACAACTATCGATACTTTTCATTTTCATTTCAAAAACATAAGCTGGAAATATTATAACACAGTCGTTTAACTCTTGTTTCTTCACTCCTCTCCCTCTGAAGTTAAGCTCCCAGGCAGCAGGACCTACATCCACCCCCACACCTACGAAGATCCAAACCAGGCTGTCAGAGACTTTGCCAAAGAGATTGATGCTTCCAATATCCGCATAGAGAGAGTCATCGGAGCTGGTACGTTGGCAGTAAAACAGTAGTGGGTTTTTATAAATAACTCATTAGCGGAGTGAGATTTTGACTCGCATGAATTTTAAGATATCCCTTTCAGTCATATTTGCATGTACAGGAACACTGACGATTGATGAATTCAACAGAGAGCATCAAATTATATCCGTGTATATGTGTGTGTGGTTACAGGAGAGTTTGGCGAGGTGTGCAGTGGTCGGCTACGCGTGCGGGGAAAGAGGGAGATTTACGTCGCTATCAAGAGTCTGAAGGCGGGATATTCAGATAAGCAGAGAAAAGACTTCCTGTCCGAGGCCTCCATCATGGGACAGTTTGACCATCCCAACATCATCAGGCTGGAGGGTGTCGTTACCAAATGTAAGTGATTTATAACATTCGGTTGATTCATATGGAGAAGGTAAAGCCAACCGGCCTGTGTATTGACAAAAAGTTGACTTTGACGTCTTTGGCCTCCAGTTATGTTTAGCTTTATTGTCTCTTTTGCTCTAAATAAGGCCAGAGTTTACATGTGTAACTTGTGTGTTTGATGATTAAACGTGGTACAAATATAAAATATCTGACTGCAGTGGTCCTGCAGTACTCCACTTCCATTTTCTTCTTCCTCGTTCTTGGCTACTCTAATTTGTGTGTGTACCTGTTGTAGACATGTGAGTCACTGCAGAGCTCCCTGGCCATGTGTCGGTGTTGATCCAGGATCAGATAAATGTTCCATTACCATGGCAACAAACTCATGACACATGGGCGCGTGCATGTAAATGGCAACTGTCCTTTTCTTTCAAACAGCCACTTGTTTGCTTGCCGTGATGGTGTTAGTCAATTAGCGCGAGTGTGTTTGTGCATCCGTGTTGGTGAGATAGAAAAGGTCTGCTACGACAAAAGAGCTGATTTGTTATCATGGTGGCTCGCCCTCCATCACGCTCGTACTCTCCAGCCTGCTCTGCTTTTCCTCTCTCAGTCGGTGTGCATCTAATCTTACCTTTCAATCATTCCCCGTCTCTCTCTTGCTGTCCTCGGTCCCCACAGCGCTCTACAGTCTCTGTTAGTAACTCTGACAGTACATCAACACAAGTCGGATGAAAAAGATAAAATAGACAAAACAGTTTCCAACTCTTCATCCCAGGATCCCTGTTGACCTAGTTTCAACACTTAAACTGCGTCGTACTGTTTACTTTAATATCAAACAAAAGGAGTTGTTGCCACTTTTGCCACTGTAGGTGCGCTAGCTCTGTTAGCTGTCCAGTCATGGTGAACATGCAGAATGTTCAAGATTAGCCAATCCCAAGGCTCATCACTGCAACCTCCCCACTAATAGCTACTGTACCAACAGTCCTGTCTTTAAGGCACACAGTATTTCGCAGTCGAGAAATAGTCCTAGTACTCAAATTAACTTCCTGGTACTAGTTTCTAACATGTTCAACCCCTTTTGTGAAAGCCATGCAAATTGCTTTGTGATACTTTTTTTTTTCACCACAGCAGATATAGATTTTACAGAGCAGAGTTTAATCCCAAGCTCTGCTACTCTTCATGTAGACGTGACTTGGGCAGGACACTTAGCCCCAGGATTGTGCTGGCTGCTATGTCAGCAGCAATTGTGTCAAAGATGATGTTCTGCAAATACAGTAGATGTGCAGTCAGAGTGTGCGGGTGGATGTGTGAAAGTGTGCGAGTGGACTTGAGTGGTCTTGACTACGAGAATAACACAACAAGAACTTAAATTGGACAGAAAAGTAGCATCTCACACGTCGTTATGGAGTGGAAAAACTAATATTACTCTGCCAGAAAATAAAATGTTTTAGCGTTATGCTGGAACAGTATGGTGTCTTTCAGCTTCATTTGCGATTAAATGACTTGTGGCTAATTTGACAGTGAGTGACAATCTGAAGGAGGTGCATTTTCAGGAGAGCACATACCTGGAAATGTAGAAATTGAGAGAAAAACTGTGGCAATAATTTAGAAAATGATCTTCATCTGCTGCTGCTATATTTACAGCTGTATCTTGTTTACGGCTATAAAAAACAACTTGGTTCTGTTTGCAGACACCGGAATGACGCTAATGTAGACACTTAACCTTTTTGAAGTATAAATTGTGTTTACACACCCGCTAATTTCACTCTCTTCCACACTCCTCGTCACCACCACTGCTGTGTTACTCAGGTCTGACACCTTGTTTGACAGGTGTCTAAAAACGAGTGAACGAACACCACAATCTGCTCTTAAAAAGGAGTAAAAACTGCAAGCGTGCATCCAGACAAACAAACCTCCATACACGGAGGACTCCTTCTCACACTGGTACTCGGTGGTAGTTAGGCCAACAACATAAGAGCAAGTGCATATGCACCCACTTTTATCACAGAAATTAATAATTCATACAGTTAATTGGATGAGTTTTTTGTCTCATGAATATTCAGTGAAATGCATACTAAAAATTAGACTCCTCCACGTTTCCGATTTATTTCCTCGGCTCCGTCGTCCTCCTTCTTTCTCCCTCTCTCTGACTTAATTGTGCTTGCTGTTTAATAACTGTGACCTTTGGTTTGCAGGATCGAGGCACTTTGTAAAAGCACTGCGACAACAAATGTGTTTGTTTAATTGTGACGGGCAGATATGTCGTCTAATTATTGCACTTGTCTCTTTCAATCCCAGGCACTTTTTGTAATTTAAAATGCCAGAATAAATTCACAGCATTACTGTCTGCTGGTTTCGATTCTAAGATGACAGACAAACAGAACAGATGACAGTGAACGCAGCCTTAGAACCTAAAAAACCTACTGTCATTCTTTAGCGTGAATATTAAAGTACAGGTGTCTGCATAGTATCTCCAATGTGATAGGTGTCCACGCCTGCTTTTTACATGCATCTTTGTGCGTCTCCCTGAGACGCAGGTAGACTGCCCAGAGCAGTCAGGGTCAGTCTACCTGATTAGACAGAGGGGGCGGTATGTGAAGGGACCAGCTGGTGCCAGAGAAAAAAGCCTGAAGGAATTATTGACCCATTTCAACTCTCACCCCTCGCTCACACACATACACCCTGGGCTGTGACCTGTGAAATTACTGCTCTGCTAGTGAGATTTGTTTCTGAGGAGCTCTATCAGCTCCTCAATGTGCCGTGAAGACGGGTGAGAGAAGGGAGACGCACAAAGATGCATGTAAAAAGCAGGCGTGGACTAAACCCTAACCCAAACCCAAACCCTAACCCCTACAACTCATTCTGCTGCTGCTGCTCCTCACAGTTTCACAAAACCAATCCAACCCTAACCCTAACTCTAAACCCTAACTGTGTGGCTGTGGATCATAAAGTCCACAGATGGCAGGTTGAACTACAACGCAACATCTGGCCACACCTTTCTAACTGTAGTCATGTTCACGGTGGTAAAATGTAAAGTTTTGAGAAGGGAAAAAAAAAAAGTCGACAGAGTTTCAACCATTAGCCCAGATTTGACTGCTTCCATAAAGTGCAATTATCTTAACAGTTCATTAGTCAAACTAATCATCTAATCCAAACACTTTCTGCAATTAGATTAAAAAGTTACTCAGACTAATTATAATTGTGATAGATTTTGTAGAGGCGTTAATTATATCAGCTGTTTTTTATCTTTCACCCAGATTTGTGTGTTTTATCTGACTTTTCTTTCTTTCTTGCAATTTAATTATTTTGTCTCTATAACATGATACACACAGATACACACAGACTCTATCATGATGCACTGACATCATGATAGAGTTGACTATAGCATATGAAGGAAAATGGCAAAAAGTGGTGCACAGTTGACTATAAAATGTACAAATTACCAACAGTAGAGGGTAGAGGTTTAACATCAGCTGTTTTTAAATTAACAATCTCACCTTTAATAAACCTGTTTTATATTGACCTGACGGTAAATTCACTGTGTTTTCCTTTTCTCACTCAAAAGCATTTCTGGCTTTGTTACTGATTTTTTCTGACCTGTGGTTCCAGTGGGGTTTAAATGTGGTTCTAATGAGGCAGGTCGTCTTTTTGAGGCACTAGTTAAAGTTTAGATACAGCTATAAATTGTGGCTAGGTTAATGTTAGGGTCAGGCATTAACTCGTTATGATTGAAGTTGGGGGTGAGGTCCTGATTAGGAGGAACAAATGAATGGAAATCAATGCAGAGTCTTGACAAGAATAGCTTGTGTGTGTGTGTGTGTGTGTGTTGCTAAAAAACCTCATAAGCCTCCATCCCCTGCAGTGTGGCACTCTAATAACCTACGCCGCTGTCTGTCACCTGATTGTTGCTATTGTCATGCTAATTAGAGCACCACATGCTGAAAAGAGGAGGGGAACAAATCTTTCATGTCTTTTTTGTCTGTTCTCGCCACATCAGGAAAGTGCAGCAATCTGCACCTTCTCCCCTGCCTCCCTCCCACCCTCCCACCCTCTCTCCCTTTCTGCTTTCACCTCCTCCTCCCCCTTATCTCTCCTTCATCTCCTGCATCCCTCATTTTGTGTGTCCGTCCTTTATGTGTTCTACAATTGCAGCAACAATCAGCTCATTTAGAAAACCCTCAATTACCAGGCCACATCTAATCTGCCGCCCCCCCCCCCCCCAAACCCGGGGGGGGGGGGGGGGGGCATACACTCTTTTGTGTGCCACATATAACTCACACATAACCACACACAGAGGGAAACCAAATCACTTTGAAGATGAGTTTAAACGAGATCCACAATTTGAATATATCTCCATTTCCACATGCAGGAACAAATGAGGCGAACGGAGAATGGCGGCGAGAGGCGGGGGGCGGGGGCGGGAAGTACAAAGTAAAGGTGAAGATGGAAGAAGGATGCAGGGGGAAAGGGTGGAGAGGATAGGATGAGATAGGATACAAGAGGGAGGAAATGAGAGAAGATGGGTGTTGAGAACAAATGAGGGCGAGAAGAGGGGAGATGTGTGAGAAGATTTGAGTGAAGGAGGGTTAGAGGGGCTGCACGGAGGCAAACATGAGGAAATGAGAAGAGATGAAAAAGGCAGGGGGTGTGGAGGCTAACGTTATTGAGTTTCTGTCGGTGTTTCTCTGAACCCCAGCATCCTTACACTCGCTTCCCAGAACACAGATCTGTCCGGCGTTAAAAGCATTGTATCAATTCTTTCAGTTCCCTAACATTAATCAATATGGCAGTCATTTTCTCATTTGAACCCTGGGCCGGCTCATTTGATAATGTGGTGATGTGGTCCAGTGGCACACACACTGATAGCCACTCAACCTAACTGTCCAGATGTAGACAGATATCTATCTCTTCCCTTCACTTCTACGCCACCACACGACTGAACAGCCTCTCCTAATGTCATGTTCTCTGTCTTTGTTGTACACACACAGGCTTCACAAGTCAGGCTGATGTCCACGCAAACCATTGTTCCCAAATAATTAGGGGAAACCTTTCTTTATCTTGAACTATTGCAGACTCACCAACCGCTGCAGTTCCTCAGATTCATTCACTCCACTTGGCAGGACATCAATATCCAATCCACGCACACATAGTTATAGGCAGTTTGAGCAATTGTGTTTCCTTCTGAAGGTGATGAACAGGTAATGTATTGCAGTGAATGTGGATGTGATTACTTAATTATGTGCTTTCAGGGGAGAATGAAGCGGTACTTCTAAACGTTTTGTTTCAGAAGGGAGAGGAGGTTAATGATAGGCTAGAAAATCTTAGTTCAGAAGGGAGAGGAGGTTAATGATAGTTAATCCAGACCAGTCACTGTGTTTCAGCTGTGGACAATGTCTGAGTTATGCTGACATTATAACTAAAACCAGACCTATTTGCGTATTTGTTAATGTAACAGGACAAGCTATATTTAGTACCATAATTGCATAATAAAAAAGTAAAAAAATAAACCAGTGAGAGCATATATTTCCCTTGTAAAATCTGAAAGTCTTAGTAAGCGTAAAAAAAAAGTGCGTAGAAGCATTTTGTGACTTTTGCTGAGTAACTCCATAATTATCTGTGTAGTTGTTTATGCTAATTCCAAAAAACCCAAAAGCAACAGGGCTAATATTTGACTTTTAGCTGTGTGCCGTCTGTATTTTTCAGTAGTTTCTGTTTCCTATTACACTTGAAGAGTATATTAGAGTGTATGACAGTCTTAGTAAGCGTATTCTTGATAGTCTCTATCTCTCTCTGTGTGTGTGTGTGTGTCCCTCTAAGCTGGAACAACAGAATGGATGCTATTTACAGTTCTTCTTTCCTAACTGCCTCTAACTCTGTGAGCCTGAAGCTAATATTCCCTCCTGACAGACACTATGTAATGCACATACACTCACAAACACACAGTCCAACATGTAATTGGTTTTTAGAAGAGGTTTTTTACAGCTCCGTACCATTCCGTGGAGGTCATATTCTACAAAGCAGACAGCATTTTATGGCTGTCTACTTTGTAGAATATGACATTTAAGCCAGCGTTCTCTGTGCAGACGCACACAGACACAGACAAACCAACTCTCTATCCAACACTGAGTCTACAATCAGAGGACACAGTGAGGCACACACACCTCAAAACACAAACGTTTATTTTCTGGGTGAAAAAAACAGGCCGTTCTCGGACGTCCTTTCAGTCACAACCAGTTAAACGTGTGACGCCGTGACAAAACACATACAGAGAAGCAGACATGTGTTCTCTGCCTCTGATCAGAGCTGAAATCAGGTGGTTATCGTAGCGCCATCCATCCCCACCTGCCATGCCCTGAAACCAGCTCTCTGTCTTTCTCTATTGCACACACCTGCACGCACACGCACACACACCCAGAGCCATACACCACACACAACACAGGCCCCTTGTGGAGATAAATGTGACCGGCAGTCCTCACCCCCAGCAGAAGAAAATCCAATTCTCTTTCACTTTTATCCCTGAGACTAATGTTACTGTCATAGAAGACACCACCACCAGAGACCAGCCGACTGTGCGCCTGTGTGTGTGTGTTTTTCGGCGTGTGTGTGTGCTGCAGTAAGATAGTGAATTCATTTAAGGTGATGTATTGCTGTCTTTACCTGCAATTTCACTGTAAGCCTTGGTGGTGTTGTTTCCATGACAAGCTTTTGACCTTTTCTCATATTTTCTCTCTTGTCCTTATCGTACAACCTTTGTTTCTGCACTGTAATACCACTGACACTCCGGCCTGCGTATATGTTTGGATGTTGGTCTTTCATGTGTCAATAGTCCTCTAAGACTGAACTCTCAGAATGAGCAAAGGAAGTTAGATTACTGCCTAACTTAATAACAACTCATAAACGGGGGTCCTAGACCCGCTTCGGAATTCTGTTTCAACGATGTAACACGATTTTAGCCGTAACTCAGAACTCGCATACTGTACACCTATGTTACTCACCTATGCTAGCAAAATGGTAACATCGAAATCTATGACATGAAAAATTTAGAAGAGTCTGACAAGTGTAAGCTTGAGAGCCATGATGAAATGAACGACAAAAAGTTCCCAAAAATACAACACAAATAAAATAAAATAAAAAGAGTCTGACAAGTGTAAGCTTGAGAGCCACACAAATAACACAAATAAAATAAAATAAAAAATAAAAATTGTCTGTGCAAAATGAGTTTTAACATCAGAACACTTCCTTAAAAAATAGGATATGACGTTGTAATAACGTCATTTATTTTACTATTATTTGGACTTTCTGTCCTCCACTTATATGTGACCCTACTATATATCTCCCATCACGTCATCTTTAAGATCTGAGGGGAGAAATGTGACCTGGTCAGCCCAGAGCTGCTCAGAATCCCATCCCTCCTTCAAACAAACACACTCTCTGCAGTTTTTTGGTAGTACCTATAGAACAGAGAGACCTCTGTGCAGCCTGTAATTGCAGGTACTTTGTTAATAATTTGTATAAGACCGTCAGAAGCCAGGCCGGGAACAGAGTGCACAGAGGCTGTCACTCAAACTCCCCTTCATCGAGCCCTCATGGGTCTAAAACACAGCGTTGTGCAGGTGTACAGTGATCCTACCACAGCCCCCTTCTCTCTCGAGGCTGATTAGTATTCATGAGATCTCAGGAGGCCCCCCAGTTCGCACACTTGCACCCACCCGCCCACATACACACACACAATTCTAGTGGATTGGTCCATTCTAATTATCTCCTGGCATTTATGGAGAGGGCTGATTAGAAGCTGTCAGTGTGACTGATGACGACATGCCATGTAATACCCAAGAGAGAGAGGGAGACAGAGAGGAAGGCTGGTCACAGCTGTGGACTCCACTTCTTTGTCTGCGTGTCTTAGTTTGTCTCCCGCTTTCCTACTAATTATGTTGCAACTAACAGCTGCCTTGTTTTGTCTCCGTCTTTAGGCAAACCAGTGATGATCATAACAGAGTTCATGGAGAATGGATCTTTGGACACTTTCCTGAAGGTGAGTTTGGTCTCAGGTGCTTTCACAGCTGCCCTAATGTCCTCGCTTCAAATTTTTAAGCTCATGTTTTGTTGACATTTAAACTGCTAAACTCAACTCTAATTTAACTCTAACATAAAATTATACATCTAAGAGTCGAGACAATAAAAAAAATTCCAGCTTGAATTTTTAAGTATATTCATAATAACATAATTCAATGGCTTTACGTTACACGAAAAAAATGATTTAAAATACTAAGCAAATCCACAGACACGGTGTTATTCTGTTGATTGTTACTACAAATTCCAGCTTGAATTTTTAAGTATATTCATAATAACATAATTCAATGGCTTTACGTTTTAATCTCTTAACAATTACTTTTCCATGGTAACATGAGCACACGTTTATAATCAGTCCTTCATACGACCTATGCACAGACCTGCAGGCATGCATAATTACTGTAAATGTATTTTCCTATATGTGACAAAAACATTTTTTAAATGTCAATTACATGCACGCAGAAGACTCCTCATTCAATGCGGCACAACAAGGACATAATAACGAAGCGAGTATGAGTTATGAATAACTACGTACACATAATACGTACTTACGTCTCAGCCCTACTCAAAATGAATAGAGTTTTTTTTTTGCACATGAATGAATGCACGACTCCTGCCCTTGAGTGCCTGACACTGAAAGTCTCCCTGATTCATATTCAGACTTGCTTGTCAGCCAGTAAAATCGCTGCAGTGATAAAGCCATTAAGCCTGTGATGATAGGCCCTGTCGTTAAATAGACACCAATCCCATCAGCGACGCTGAAGCAGGACAAAATTTGACAAATAATAAATGGCAAAAGCGTGCACTCGCACATGCAGCCTCTCTACATTCGGGATATTTGTATGGTGTGTATTAGGAATAGTGTATTGTAATGAGGTCAAAGGGCATCCACAGTGGCTCAGCGCAATTACCAAATCACTTTTATGGCTTTTACAGCTCATCCCGTCTCATGTCATCCATATGTCTTTAATTTTCAAACAGTTGAAGTTGAAACTCTTTTTGGTTTAGTTTTGAGGGAGAAACTGGAGTTGTCTGCTAAAATAATCTCAGTGAACATTCTCCCTTTCGCTCCTTTCATTCGTCTCCATCTTCCTGTCTGACCTCCGTGTCCTGCATTTGTCTCTTCTGTCTTTCCCTGCCCTGCCCAACCTTACTTCATTCTCTTTCCTGGCAAGGCACTGTGGTGGGCAGATTGATAGAGGAAGTCTCTAGGTTTGTTAGACAGTCCAATCAATCAGCATCTCACAAAACCACCGGCTAATTAACTTACTCCACAGCTGCTGAGACTGAAGGGGGAGACGGCGAAAGAAGGATAGAGAGAGAGGAGCGCAGGATGTGCACAGATGTAGAAAGATGAAGAACAGATAGATGGAGACTGTATCAAAATGATGTGTTTTGAGTTTGATGAGTTTGATGAGTTTTCCTGTCAGAGACAGAGATGAAGCAGGGAGATACAGAAGGATGGAGAGAACAGAGAGGGAAGACAGAGATGATGTAAAAGAGAGAAGGTGACTGATAACGTGGGACTGTTGGCCCAGAGCAGAAACGATTGGCAGAAGAAGGTGAACTGGACCACCATCGATCAACAGACTCTTCTCTGTGCCAAAGAACATTCGAATCTGAAATCCAGTAAGCTCTGTTTGAGCCTGTGGTCCATGTAAGGGTAGAAAGTTTTCTTTGTAGTGTCACATCCAATCCTCTGAAGGTGGCTTATTTTGTCATTTTCAATTGATCTTTTACAGAGAAAACTCATCTTTAGTTTGCTGACTTCCGTACAGAGGTTGGCTTGAATACTTCTTCTTGCTGAGATTGCTAAAGAACTCAACACAAATCACAGCGCCACCCCTCCTCAAGACCTTTGTCAGCAGTTCACACTGTGCGCTGCGTATGAATTCATCTCTCTCCTTTTACAGAAACACGACGGCCAGTTCACCGTGATCCAGCTGGTGGGCATGCTGCGTGGCATCGCCTCAGGGATGAAGTATCTGTCAGACATGAGCTACGTTCACAGGGATCTGGCAGCTCGCAACATCCTGGTCAACAGCAACCTTGTGTGTAAGGTGTCGGACTTTGGCCTGAGTCGGGTTCTGGAGGACGACCCTGAAGCCGCCTACACCACCAGGGTAAGACGGACCTCAAGACACTCATGCCATTTTCTCACATCAACAAAGCCTGGCAGACACACACATGAAAACTCAAACCCACACACACATGTTTACTTGGCGCTGACGCTGCTGTTCGCTGCGTGCGTGTAGGAGAGTTTGGGGAGGTGTGCAGCGGCCGACTGCGTGTCCACGGGAAGAGGGAGATCTACGTGGCCATCAAGAGTCTGAAGGCGGGTTATTCTGACAAACAGAGGCGGGACTTCCTGTCCGAGGCCTCCATCATGGGACAGTTCGATCATCCCAACATCATCAGGCTGGAGGGCGTGGTCACCAGATGTGAGTTTGGATTGTTTTGATGTGTGAGGTTTTTTTTTTTTTTTTCAAATTAAACTTTCAAATTTTTCCTTCCATCTGTGCAGGTAAACCACTGATGATCGTCACAGAGTACATGGAAAATGGATCTCTGGATGCTTTTCTTCGCGTATGTACAAACTGTTTAGCTGTGTTGTGCAGCAGCTTTAAAAAGAATCACATTTACGAAATGTTGCTAGTTTATTTACTTTGAGTAAATGGAATTATTTTCCAGCCAATCTGAGCTGACGATGATGATGTAAAAATCCTCAGAAGACCAACTCCTTGGTCAATGCTCCTGTAATACCACATTAGTGTTCAAACCAGTGACCTGCTAACCTGCTGTGATGGTTTAACAAAGTGTTTTGTGTTTTCATTACCTTTTCCAACGGTACAAATTATTGCAATTTGCAGGTCAAATTAATTTCCCGTTCTGTTTTTTTTCTCTCTATTTCTATTCTCAGAAACACGACGGCCAGTTCACCGTGATCCAGCTGGTGGGCATGCTGCGTGGCATCGCCTCAGGGATGAAGTATCTGTCAGACATGAGCTACGTTCACAGGGATCTGGCAGCTCGCAACATCCTGGTCAACAGCAACCTTGTGTGTAAGGTGTCGGACTTTGGCCTGAGTCGGGTTCTGGAGGACGACCCTGAAGCCGCCTACACCACCAGGGTAAGACGGACCTCAAGACACTCATGCCATTTTCTCACATCAACACATTAATTTTGAACAATTGCTAAACTGACACACACCTGCTGTCATGTGATCAGTAGCATAGCAGTTTGCACCAAAATGAGTTCATTGACTTGTCACAACTCGATATAAAAAAGCAAGTCCATCACATCTGAGCGATTGATTGATCACAGCAGGACAGGCTGAGGTGACGCTGTCCTGAGAGTGTGGCGAGAAAACTCTATCTGTGATTTATTACCCATAAAGTTACAGACATAACACCCACACTCTTCAAATTAAAATTTGAGTCCATAAAGTAACTGTTCTGCCAGACACCGTCCCCAAATATTTTAACTTAAGGGCAAGGCAGTCTGCAAAAAGACAGACTTTAAAAGTTAGACTTTTCACCCAGAATTGTTCCTGCACATCACTGTATTTTCCTGTGGGCCTTTAAAAAGACTGTATAATTCTGTGGCTGGGTTTATTACAAAATCACTGCACAGTTCATCTAATCTGTGCTCTGAAGTTTAGACACAACTATTAAGGTTTTAAATTTGGTTGAAAATTCCAGACATCACTGCAGCTAACAGGTCAGGATGAACTATGACCACAGGTTAATCAGGGTCACTGCAACTGACAAACAAGCCTGAATGCTAATTTGTCATGGCACTCACTTGGGTGACAGTTTATGATGTTGGTTTTTATTTCTACTCTCGTACAGGGAAGAATTTGTAAATAGATACAAGAATAAAAACCAATCATGCAGTTTATGGTTAGTCCGTTAATTTAAAAAGGAAAAACACACAATATGCATGTAGGGTATCCATTAAAGCTAGCTTTACATTCTTTACATTATTTTTAATTGCATTTCCATGGATATGAGATGTGTGAGCTTCTTGTTAGTGGGGAGTGTTTCGGTAATGAACTGCTGAAGGTATATGAAAATACTTTTTGCCTATGTTCAAGTCTGAGGAGCCTTTGATAACATTACCCTCCTCTCACAGAGCTCAAAGAAAAGAAGAAAACTCAAACGTCAGTGACTTCTACCACTGCGGAGTAACTCATCTAAAATGCCCACGAGGACATGGCATTATTCATATTCATAGGAAGTGTTGGGGATGTTATTTTTAATATGGCATTAGCATTGCCCTGGGAGGAGTGGATCCGCCGCTGACTGCTCTATTGCAATCGCACACACACTCAGGACTGATGTCAAGAGACCGAGATGGAGAGCTGCAGGCATGGAAGGAAGGGGGAGGGAGAAGGAGAGGCCGGGGAGGAGACGATGAAGAAGCGGGGAGAGCGGAGTGGATATCAAATAAGACTGAGATCGAGGGAGGCTGGGAGAGAGAGAACAGGGGGGAGACGCTGTAAGGATCCAGAGAGAGCAGTTTGGTGAAAAAATATAGATGGTGTTGGGGTGAAGAGGGGGCTTCGGAAACAAAAGTACACCGCTGAGTGACTTGGCAGCTTTGTCTTTTATTTGACTTTGACCAAACAGAGATGGGGGAAAGGAAGTTGGTGCAGAGGCAGCTGCTGCATGTTAAAAACAGAGCCGAGCTCTGTAGAGGAACAATCTGTTTGCAGAGAAGATAGAGAGAGAGAGGAGTTATCTCACCGCCCGCTACGTCCAAACAGCCAGTATTTATGAAGGCCTAGTCGTCTGCGCTCGCACCACAAAGGAAGGGAAGCGGCATTCAAAACATACAAAAGATGTAAATGACAAAAGTCAGTCAGACGCAACAGTAAAAGATGGAGGCGAGAGTCACCTTGTTGTCAAGCTGGTGCATTAACTCACAGCTCTGATTTTAATGGCGACAGACTTCTTGGCAAGCGCCGTCTTACAATCTGCTTTGTCAGTTCTACCCTTGGTTTAATGCAACACTTAGCCCGACACGTACCAATAAAACAGCCTTCAAATATTTACACTATCTGGACGGGAAATAAATAACGTCCGGTTGAGAGCGACATACATACACACGCTGCTGTAACACCAAGAATGTGCTGACTGTGATGTCAACATTCACAGGGAGGAAAGATCCCCATCAGATGGACGGCTCCAGAAGCTATAGCCTACAGGAAGTTCACCTCGGCCAGCGACGTGTGGAGCTACGGAATCGTCATGTGGGAGGTGATATCCTATGGAGAGAGACCCTACTGGGAGATGTCAAACCAGGATGTGAGTCAGAAGCACAGTGCCTTATGTCTCAATGTAGACTTCAACCTCCATGTCTCTATGTTTAGCTGCCGTTTCACTCTCACTGCTTTAATGCAGTTGGTCAAAGACTTTTGGTCCATTCCAGCCTCAGCTAACACACGGTTTACAGAAGTGGGAATGTGCCTGATCAACATTAAATTGCAGGTCAATTAACCAATTGGCCTCGATGAAAATGAAATGATGCAATAATATAGCACACAATCAGACAATCAAAAAATGACTTTTTAATACCTAGATCTGGCCAGAATAACTTAATTTAGGGTTAGCATAACATGAAACTGTGGGAGCAGTCGATGAATGTGAAGTGCAGTACTGTTGAGGAAATATTGCTTTAATTAGTAAAACTAATTGTAAAGTAATTATAGTAATTTCAAAGTTAGAATGCATTTGTTTGAATTGTGCAAATGTAAGAAATATTGATTCATAATAATAAGAATGTCTTGACTTAATATTCCATAAAAGAAGAACTTTTCAGGATTTTTATTAAAACCAGGGCTTTTCAGCCGGAGCCACTAGTGGCCAACAGTAGCACTGCACCATTTATTTCTTTTTTAGGTTCTTTAATAATAAACCATTCAGGAGTCATATTTGTTCCTTGAATAAAGTATCAAAGATTTTTTATAAAAAATAATAATTTGACTCTGTTTACCTACAACCAGTGTCTTTCATTTGCCCCTGTAGGTGATCAAAGCAATAGATGAAGGCTACCGTCTTCCTGCTCCCATGGACTGTCCTGTGGTGCTACACCAGCTCATGTTGGACTGCTGGGAGAAGGGAAGGAGTGACAGGCCAAAGTTTGGACAGATTGTCACAATCCTGGACAAGCTTATTAGAAACCCAGCCAGCCTGAGAGAGCTGGCCAACAGCTCACTATGGTCAGTTGGAGAGAGCCGTAAAGTCAAAATGTGGATTTAACACTTTTACACATGTAGTCTGGAAACAGGTTGTGAAGGAGTTCATCCACTATATCATACACAAAAAAGTCTGCAATTTTAGTAAGTTTTACACACCTAACTGATGTGATATGAGCAATATTTATTATATTTATGAAAAACATGGAGCTAAAGACTAATGACAAACCATAGATATTAGGCTACTCAATCTATAAACCCCTACACTGACAGGCTACATAGGCACAAACATATGATGTATAGTGGTTATGGTCTACGGGTTGGGTTTAAATGAACCCCACACACAGCCCTGTATGTTAATGTAGATGCAATTAGTCCTTTGTTTGTGCGCTGGTAATTAGGTTTGAGCATGAAAATGAATGAACACAGAGATCATTTATAACAATTTATAATAAAAGGAAGCAAGTGGAAGAGAAAGGGGGCAACGTCATTAATCATACTTTCACACAAATGGATAGGTTTCAAAGTTCCTGTTCTCTTTACTTTGGTCCATATGCTAGTTCTGAATCCGTCATGTTGCCGTTGATGCTAGCGGAAAAAAAGTTGTTACAACCCCAGATCTTTTTATTTCTAAAATTCATTTTTGATCATGTTTGTTATACTGTGTTCCAAACCCTTGTGTTTTGTACTCCAGCAGGGAGGACCTGTCCACACCAGAGTTCAGTGTGACCACAGTGGATGAGTGGTTGGAGGCCATCAAGATGGGCCAATATAAGGAGAATTTTTCCAGTGCAGGATATGTGAGCTTGGACTCCATACTCTACATTAGTGTCAGGTACAGACATTAGAACTTCTTTTTTATTAAATGAAGCCTCTCCTGCAGGGGGTGCTGTGAATGCAGAGTAAATGCTTTTAAATCAAAGATCATATATTTCATTGTTTGTAATTTTCTTCCTTGTAGTGAACTGGCTAAGATGGGTGTAACTCTGGCTGGACACCAGAAGAAGATTTTATCCAGCACGCAGAGTTTGCAGACCCAGGGGACACATGTCCAAGTATAACAGCGTCCTGTTAAACAGTGAGACACAGCTTAAATAGATGCACCTGTGAAGACTCTAACCCCCTCAAAATGGACTCCTGATGGATACTCTCTGCTCGGACCTCCATTGCTTTTAAGGCACACTCTGGGGGACAAAATTGACGCTTGCCTCCTTCATCTCCTCGCAGTTTCTCTAACCCTTCTCTCCTCGATGGGCACGACCAGCTTTAGCACTCAATAGTCCCAGAAACACTCTGTTGTGGAGCAGCGGGGGTGGCGGGGGACGCGTGACTATTCAAAACTCCTAAATCATTTCACTTCATATCAGCTCGACAGGAAGAACAGAGAACAGAAAAAAAGATTTTTAACTGAAAAAAAAATTAGAATATAATTATCATCACTGTCTGTGAGGTGTACAGTTGGTTTTTACCGTCTTTTTGTTTTGACTATAAAGAGTTAAAAAGGGTCAGAAGATATGTATATGTGTAGATATATGTTTATATGGGTTGTGTATTCCACGCCTGTAGAGATGGACCTAATGTTTGTATTGGTGGTGAGATCACTCAAACCTAATAAGACTTATAACTGCGGTACATTTATGGCTCCTTCCATTGTTTGCTCTCCGTATGTAGAAAGCCAACGTACAAGCTAACTGTTGAGAATGATGTGAATGTGTGAGGGCGGAGAGAGAGAGAAAAAAAAAACTGGACCTTCAGAGACTCAGACGGGTGTAGATTCTTGCTAGTTGGTGTAGACAGAGGTGTGATTTGTTCATGTAGAATATTTGACCAGGTAAAGGGCTTCCCTGGCGACTGCTCTCACACAAACACTTCCGACCAGAGCAGGAGCATGTTTGCTTGGCTGCTCGCACCTATGATGTAACTCAGTGCAAAGTCACAGCTGAAACAACCCGAGGTGGAGACGCCACAGATATTTTTACTCTTCCACAACTGTCACTTCCAATCCACATGGCACTGTCTGCTTAGCAAACACAGTATTATGATGATGATGATGATGGTTTTGCCTTCTCATGAATCAGGGGTGTGAATGTGTGTGTGTGAATGTGTGTGTTTGAGTGTGCGCATTAAATAATTTATAGTGTTTTGTGGAAAGCGAGAGGTGATGCAAAGGTCATGATGGAGTTGACACTGTCAGGAAGGTGGAACTTCTTTTTCCTAGTTTTGTGCCATGTACAGGGACAACATACATTTACCATTGTTATTTTTTAAATTTGTTTTGCCTGACAGAGAAACTATTCTACACGGCCAATTTTAATGAAACACATTTTTGAATGTATAATGGAAAATCTGTGCCACAAAGTAAAGGTAAAGATCACATTTTAAAAAAAACTGCACATATGGAAGATAAGCTTTGACCTACTGTAAAGTAGGACACGACTAATTTGAGAAAGTGTTGTTTTCAAATAGGGCTTTAACTCGTAGTCAAAGTCTGTCTTTATTGTTCACTCATGCAGCTCAACTTTAGACCACAAAGACACAAATTATCAGTACAAGTCCAATGCAACTTGAATTCTTAACGGTACACCACATCATCCACAGTACAGTAGTTAAATAAATGTCCTGGAACACATGAAACGCTACAAACAAACTGCTAATCTTTAGCATTTTGTGTGATACATGTAAGAAGTGACAGCCCTAGTTGAAAACAGATTTATTTCTCTGCCGCTTCCTTAAATCATGTAAGAAGTTAAACAGCAAAACTTGGACAGGATGGGAACACATCTGCGTGAGCTGCATTGCTGCACTGAACCTGCGTTGTGTGTAAACCCAAAGTGAGTTTCAGCCGACGTGGTACTCCACAGGACCAACAGAGACTTTTAAGTGCAGTATATACAATTGTATCATAGTGTAAAATATGTACAGCGTTGATTTACGATGTTAGAATGTTTGTAATGACAACAATGATGACGATGACTACGGTGGACTTTTATTGTGAGGTAAATCATTCAACAGTGGCCCGACGGGATGTAGAAAAGAACTTGTTGGTCTGGACTAAGGAATGTAGCATGGCACAAAGCTCCGGCTTTGATTGACAGGTGACAAGGACTGCAGTTTATATATCATAGCACTAGAATGAGTAGAATGTACCTACCCATGCACCTGCCAGGGATACATTTGAGAAGCTTGGAAATGGAAATGATGATAAAAATGCTACCAAAAAAAAAAAAAAACAACAACTACATACAATAAATGGGATGTACAATCATGTTTGCCCATGTTTTTATGCTTTTTGAAAGCTATGGAATTCCACTAGAATTCCATTTGTGAAGTGGAAGAAGAATTAAATAGTTACATTAAGTCAAAGGTGATAAATTAATAACAAAGCCAACAAAACCACAACAGATTTTCCAACAGACAAATTACAGGAACAGTCTAAAACCCAAAGGGTTCATTCTACTCACGCTAACCCTATGACTTCATTTTAGCGGACGACCCCTGACCGCTGACCTTTTAGCTGCCTTATTATTTGTTCTTTTTTGCCTTACTGAGGCCTATCAACAGTAAAATGTATGTGGAGGTAGTATTTATCTGTGTTCTTATGATGACATAACATCAACACCCTGGTTTTGTAAAATCTCCTAAGAGACATTAAGACGAAAATATTAATTTCTTTTCAAATCCAACCATCAAGACAATGGAGAAAGTGACACATTGTTCAAAGTCTGTATTACAGCCATTGATTTAGATGTGATTGGTTTACATAATAAAATTTGTTGTATGGTTGTTTTAATGTGGAAAGTGTAAGGTCGTATAAGGTCTGAAAAAGAACAACATGGAAACAGTGTGACAAGGTCACAATGTTTCATGACAGACAGCTTCCTGACATGTTGGTATAGCTAATGAATCTCATATTGACCTTAACGTTCAAATCTTTGGCTTTAACTTTGTCTGATCACTAAAATGAAGCCATTTTCCACAACTCTAACTTCAGTTTTTGAGGTTTTTTTTGTTTTTCTGTTCACCCTCTCAGCTCTCTGTTCCGCTCTAACCACCTCCTTCCCCCCCTCTCTCTGTTTGGCCACCGTGGCAGTGCTTAGTTGTTCCCTCTGCTTTGCTTGTTGTAAAAGGGTGTAGGCATTCTGATGTCTTTCATGTTGCTGTAATAAACATGCTAATATTTCTAATTTCTCACCTGACGGTTGCAGTGTCTTTCTATTTACACACACGTACCTGTTGTCCAGCAGTGTTAGGCTGCCTGACACTAAACATGACACTGAAACCATTTTGTTTGTTTTTATTATAATCATAATTTTTTATGCTATCAACTTATTGTGCAAAAACTATTGCTAATTATGTTTAAAGACCCCAGTAATTGCCAGGCTTTAGTTTTCACTGCATGGCTCTGTAAAATCCCTGCCAAGTCAACAGATGGTCGTATAAACCTGAATCTGGTGGCCAATCAGAATACAGTCGAACAGAACATTACTGAATTTATTCTTTCATTATGTTAACACGCACTAAATTTTCCTTTTCTACACAGATCTCAATTTCACAATATTGTAATATTTTAGCTGCTTTATATAACATTAAGGATAATGGATTTAAATTTAAAAAATTGACAAGCTACTTACATTTATCACCATATCCATTTCACGTTGACAGTATTGGTACAATTCCTATCATGACATTCCTCAATGAAAAAATATGATGAGGCTCCTTTATTATGTGTGTGTGTTTTACCAACAGATAATTCTGCCTCAGGGGAAGAGGAGGTCATTGACTCCTGGCCTTGGTTAACCCCTTAATGCACTGTCCCATTTGCTGTCACTCCATGTTCCAGCCATTACACCTCATTTAGTCCATCATATTAAGCTACATATTCCCCAATCACTCACTTCCTCTGTCTGTTTTGCACACTCTCTATCTCCTCTGTATCTACAGTATTTCCTTTCACTCCTCGCCTCTTAATCTTTCTCCTGGCTTTGTGTACATTCATTTCTTTTTTATCCACCCTCTGCAGATGGACACTGCAGTTATTCCCCTGACCTTGGATACAACATTACTCCCTTCTCCACAGACAAAATTCTCATCAATCCACCCATCCTTTCTTAAATCCATTTTTCAAAAAGTTTTCTCCACATGCAGCCCCCTTTTGGAGGTCCGCAGCCTGTTTGTGGCCCACTGCTGTCACCCTTCAGGGCCTTCCTTCACTATAAAAGGCCAATCCATAACTTCAGGCCTTTGTCTCCAGGCGTCACACAACAGGGAGAATGTCATCTCACTTATTTACTCTGGATAACATGGGGGGCGACCAAGAGCCGGGGGCTTAGGCAATTGATTCATCATGCAGCTGGTATTGGCATCATGTGAAAAGGTCAGGTGTCCCTGTGGAGAGCACTTTAAAAGGCCATTGGTGACTGATGAGCCTGTCATGTTTGTATCACATACATGCACAAGCATTCTCTTAATCTGTTTCTCTGCCTCTCTGTCCGTTCTTCCAATCTGCTCTCTCTACGACACACACACACACATTTACACTCCTGTGGGAATGGTAATGCGGCCCCACTGTCATGCTCTCAGCCGTGGGCTTGAGTGTCCGCTCATGTGTAACAGTGGACATTAAAAAACACCAATGCCAGTGTGACCTCTGCAGGGGGGGTCACTAATAACAAGAACAAAAATGTGGCACTGTTACCTCACTGCGGACTGTGACAGGAACATCTGAAGCTGGTATGTAAACCTGTGAGTGGCATGATTATGAAATAGACAATGAAATCTGAAACCGGACTAAGATTTTTGTCAGGGTCGGTTTTAAATTTTAGTCTTGTTCCTGCTTTCGTTTCCCTTCGTTACAATGCATGTCCTCTGTAATCAAATATGGCCGAGTTCAGGAAGGCCGAGTGTCCCTAATCTACACTGCAAACACACTCACACACCGCGTACTTGCCCTCTCCTGTCTCAGGAGGTTTTAGTTTGCTATCAACACGATTTCCTGTCTCAAATTTTCATCAGTAATCAAAGTTCCTGATTGAATTTGAAAAGTGAGCCCGGCTATATAAATCACATTACATGCCTCGCTCCCATCATGCTTGCTCTGATCAGCCACAGGAATGAGACGATTCCCTGTCTGTGGGAACGACGTCAGAGTCTGAGCGTCTGTGAATCAGAGAAGAGAGACTGAGTGTTTTGGGGGAAAAGACAGTAGAAAAGAGAAAAACTGAGATGATAAGAATAACAACAGATGAATCACGTGTGGGTGCAACAATGATAGTGGTTCAGTCAAAACAGTCAAACTATGTGATGATGTAATTCTTTGTGAAATTTGTCAAATAAATTTGAGTCCCACTCTACTGTAGAATCAGTACAGTACAGCAGAGGCAGATGGACTATGAAGAGAAAAGGATGAGAGTAAAACAAATAGAAAAGAAAAAAGAAAGGTTTGAATGAGTTTGGCTAGACGAAGATGATATTGACCACATAATCCCTTACAGATGTGAAAATCACACTTCAATGCCTGGCAGACGTGGTGGGCCCAACTGCTATCGAATGACTCAACTCTAACCAGAGTCTAACTTCTTAAATTGTGCTATTGTTGGAGGAGAGATGATGAAAATCTAAATTTAGAGAGAACACAAGACCACATCTGCTGCTGGGTATATTATACAAACAGACACAGGCTGTAAAGCTTTCCACAGCCCCAGTGAGTCATGGAGACTGGCCTGAGCCGGAGCCTTTTCTCTATTCTATAAAAGATGCAAACAACACCTTTATTATCCAGAAGACAAAGGACTTGTTCTATTTGTCTCTGAAATCTGTTTGGAAACCCTTATGTGTGGCGGCCATAACCCAAATGTGTTCTCGATTTGGGAAATACTGTATAACAACAAATATAATATTGGTGTTTGGGTATTTTGTTATACTTTATATTATATTATATAAAATATAACAAAACACCATATAATATACAACAATATATAATAATGTAAGGTAAAGTAAATAAGGACAATATAATATGATAAGATCAAATGCAATACAATACAATAGATATAAAGCATTTCCTAACAATGTCTTATTGAAAAAATATACAATACAACAAAGAGTACACAATTTTGAAGTATTATCAAATTAATAATCATTTTCAAAAATCTTTACCAAATAAGTGTAAGGCCATCATCACATCATGAAGTGAGAGAAAGCTTCTATTCTGTCCAGGATAAAACGCCTCAGTAGAGAATTGCCTGGCACTCACACTGTCACATGAGAATTAAAAATATAAACCATATCGATCGAAGTGTTTTTCCAGAGTTCTGAACTGAAAGCACGGAACATTTTAGCGGTGGTTTGGAACGACTTGAAACGACACAGAGTGACACTGTAACGAGAGAGTCGTCCACATTGTGGTGTTATTCTAGCTGCAACTGGCACTTACACTGTTGAAACAAACGAGGGCTCATAAACACTGACAGTGTGGGGTGTAAAAACAAACACACGCCACTATCAAAAGACCAACTTTACTATTACAGTACTTCAGAGACAGGATACTGTGTCTTCTCAATGGGTCGCTGTTTCTGTGGACAAGAAACTATTGATTGACTACAGTTTATACTGGTTTATGACTCATCAACTTTATAACCACAACATTTATTACTAATTATTATTTAAACCTAATTAACTTCATCATGTAAACCTACTTTTTTTATTATATCCACACACTCACAACTTAACACATTTATTACATCTGTATTTCTGTATCTGTATAACTTTTACATGACATTTTTAAACGTCCCTAATGTTTGGTATTTTTTGTAAAACCACCAAACCAGGGTTCTGAAAAATGACACACAAAAAGTTTGTGGGTGTAATTCCGAGCTTGTTTGTGTGAGTCTGTGTGTGTGTGGTTGGTTTTTGTGCCGACATACGAAGTAAACCGCCGCTACGGAGCTAAAGTCTGCGGCCCTACATCAGCCACGTGCTTACTAACAGAGGTTTGACCCAAATAAGGGTGTAATTTATGAAGGCTTTTAGGCTCCTAGGCAGCAGTAGGAAATAGAACAGAGAATAATGTGAGGCTGACCGTGCCTATTCACTTCACTTTATGTCCCAGTCTTTTACTAGGACACGTGTCTGTGCTTCTTAATTATACACAGACAGTAAACACGACGTTAATGGACACTGGCTTTACAGAGATGTGTTCGACTGCAGATGCACAGCTGTGCTCACGATTATGGGCCCGCTGACAACCGAGAACGCTGCACTGTAGAGCAAGGTGATTAGACACAGGGATTCAAATAAAAGAGGAGAGGCAGAGGAGTGATTGAAGAATAGATGTAGAGCTGGTGAGGAGCCGGAGAGTGATAGATGGATAAAGCTGAAGAGTAGCATTGAAGCTACGGAGATCGTTAGTCCTCCACTGTAAGATGCTGGCCCCAGGCAGGGTTAAAGGCTGGAGTAGACTGTTAGCAGCTGCTGGAGGACGTGACATCATCCCAGAGAGACCAATGAGGAAAGTTAAAAACACAAATACTGTCAAATGCAGTTGTGTGTGTGAGGCCATGTAATTCCAGTGTGTACTGTCATCCTGCAGTGGGCTATTTGCCCCAGTGTTTGAAGTGGAGATGCAACTTCAGAGGATCACGCTGCTGTCACAGCCCCACAGATCAGAGCGCAGCATGTCATCAGGGAGGAGGACGGAGGGGGGAGGGAGGGGCAACAACAGACTAATGACACGACTCCAAAAGGGCTCTTACCACCAAATGTCATCATCTTCTTTTTCTTTGTGTCCAACCTCGTTTGTCTGATTATGTCCACAAAATGAAATAGTAAAAAGCCAACATTATCCAAAGTGAAATATTTTCTTTTCTTTTTTTGTTGGCCTTCATCAAATCTATTACTATAAACAGAGGACACTCACAGTTCAGTCTCTCTGCCAGTTGGCAGACTGTACTGTACATCACAGCCAACATCTGGCAGAACCACACAGTGCTATTCAGTTTCAGTGTGTTCTGTTTATAATATCACTCCACTCAAAAAAAACCTGAAACTTTGATGGAACTCCAGCTTAATATTGACTGAAATACTGTAATGACATCATTGCTTTCCCAAAGTTGTTTTCATCATCTCTTCTAAAAATGCACACTTACTGTTTTTAGAATCTTCTGCACTTGTCTGGAGGTCAGAGTCTTTT